TATATATATATATATATTTAACTTGCATAACTAAAATTACTTTTTGTTACTATTTTTTTTTATAATTATAAATAATTACAATTTGATTATATATCAACATGGTGCAAACAGAGGTAATAGCTGTAGCCAATCAAACGCTGCCTCTCTCTCCAGCCCCGCCCACTCAGACATAAGATAGAACTCCATCTAAACATCTACCTCTTGACATAAATCTTCAATATAGACGAAAGAAACAAGCACTCATGTATGATGGTATAGCCTGAGACTTTATCTGACCGTCAGCTTCGGTCAAGGACTGTGACGTCACATCAAGAGCAAAGATTTTTTGAAGAGCGACGACCCAAGGCATATTTAAAATGTCACTTCATGAATGATCTACGTCAAGCTGTCAGACCGCCATCTGCGATTGAGAGATGATGGAGAGATGACCGGTCCACATGTGGACACACAGGACAGAGACATCGAGGAGAAAGATTCTGACATTTACTGAAAACACCGTCAATGAAGTCGTGATCCATCTGCTCTGAATAATTTGATACATTTGAATAATTGATACATTTACAAACATTAGATTTTCTAACAGGACTAACTATTAATTGGTTTTATTAATTGGAAATAAATAAAACCTAAAGCGGAACTAGTAAAACCTAAATAGTAATATTTAAAAAGAACAAAAACGAATAAAAATGACAAATTTGCAAAAAATTTGCACCTGGGCAAAATTACTCAAAATTAAAGTGAAAAAAAAAAAAAAAGTGAAATGGAAACTGAAAATATAAAATAATATAACAACAAAATATATTGAAAAAAAAACTGTTTGCAGATTTTGAAACTGACATATTAACTGGAACTAATACGCGGATCAGCCGAATAATCAGCCTGTCAATCAATCACCACTTCAAATTATATCAGTGAGCTGTGATTGATATGGATGTATTGATCTGTCAGTAACATGTTGATTTTTCAGGAGCAGTATGTGTTTATCCATGATGCCATATTGGAGGCGTGTCTTTGTGGCGACACCACGATCCCAGCCAATCAGCTTCGCTCAGTGTATTACGACATGAACCACTTGGACCCGCAGACCAACTCCAGCCAGATCAAAGAGGAGTTCAGAGTCAGTCTGACTCAATATTTATAAAAAAAATTTAAAAAATCCAAATAACTGCAAATAATTTGAGTAATAAAGTACAACACATTACATTTTATATTAATACTGTAATACTATAAAACAGTATTAAAATAAATCAATAGAAATATAGTTAGGTAAGTTTGTGCATTAATTTCAATTGTGTTTTCCTTTGACAGACGTTAAACATGGTGACGCCCACGTTACGGGTGGAGGACTGTAGCATTGCACTGCTGCCGCGGAACCATGAGAAGAACCGCTGTATGGACGTGCTACCGCCCGACCGCTGCCTGCCCTTCCTCATCACCATCGACGGAGAGAGCAGCAACTACATCAACGCCGCGCTCATGGACGTACGGCAGCTCACATACACCTCAGCTCTTAACCTAGCGACCGCTACCTGCAGCTCTTAACCTAGTGACCGTTACCTGCAGCTCTTAAACTACTGACCATTACTAGTGACCATTACCTTCAGCTCTTAACCTAGTGACCGTTACCTTCAGCTCTTAACCTAGTGACGTTACCTCAGCTGTTAACCTAGTGACCGTTACCTCAGCTGTTAACCTAGTGACAGTTACCCGCCGCTCTTAACCTAGTGATCGTTACCTGCCGCTCTTAACCTAGTGACGTTACCTCAGCTCGTAACGTACTGACCATTACTAGTGACCGTTACCTCAGCTCTAAACCCAGTGACTGTTACCTGCCGCTCTTAACCTAGTAAAGGACAGCGATGTGTCTCTGATAGATGTGAATCACTGCACACGCAATTATGTGCTCAAAAACAGATGGAATTGATTTCATTGTCGGAAAAATATCTAAAAGCGATCCGTAACAGTAAAGAAACACAAAAAATGCAGTAACACAATTGACTGGGATTTGTTTGTACAAAAATAAATAAATAAAGTATTTTTTTTACTGTACACTTTTATGATTTAATTATTAATAAGTTGTTTTTTTACATTTTTTGTTTTATATTTTTGATTTAATTACGTTTTTATTTCAGTTGTTTTTATTTTAAAACGATTTATTTAAATTTTATATATTTAAGATTTAATTAATTATTATACATTTTTAGGATTTCATTTAATTATTATTTTTTTAATTAAATCATACATGTTTTATTTAAATAATTTTTATTTTAGAATGATTTATTCTTATTTTACAGTATTTAACTATGAACAAGTGTTTTATTTTGATAGATTTATTTTTATTATTTATTTTTATTTAACATTTTGATGTAATTAATCATTAGTATGTGTTTTATATGGATTGTTTTATTTTTTAATTATTTATTTTTATTTCACATTTCTATGATTTAATTGTTATGCATTTTTATAATCTAATTCAGTATTAATGTTTTATTTACAACTGTACATCTTATTATTTATTAATAAGTGTTTTATTTTGATATATAAAATATTATCAAAATCATTTTTGATTAAACTTTTTTTTATTTTTACTTTTGTTTTAATTCATTATTGTCCATTTTTATGATTTAATTATTACTAAGTGTTTTGTTTTTATTTTAAAATAATTTATTTTAATTTTCTACATTTATGATTTAACTAATTATTAAGTACATCCGTCTCTATAATAATTGCTCGTTTTTGTGCGTCTGAAGCGACAGTGTCTCTGATGGATGTGAATCACTGCACACACAATTATGTGCTTGTTGAAAATAATTCAAAAACAGATGGAATTGATTCATTTCATTGTCAGGAAAATGGCTAAAAGCGATCCATAACAGTGAATGAAGTAAAAAACGCAGTAACACGATTGACTGGGATGGGTTTGTTTGTAAAACACGCAACAGTGCATTTGTTTTCATTACAGTAAATGGAAGCGCCTGCAGCGGTAATAAAACACGCAGCTCAACGCTAAACTTCTCCACACAATTAGTCAAGCAGACAGTGAGACGGGAAATAAGATGTTTTCCTCTCTTCATCTTGACAGAGCTACAAGCAGCCGTCTGCGTTCATCGTTACCCAGCATCCTCTGCCCAACACCGTCAAAGACTTCTGGAGGCTGGTGCTGGACTATCACTGCACGTCTATAGTGATGCTGAACGACGTGGATCCCGCGCAGGTGAGAAACACACACACACCTGAACACGGCCGTCAGGATCAAAGACATGCAACACGACACAGACTCATGCAGCAGATGCACGTCACTGCAGTCGTGCGTCTGTCACACATGCACTGCTCTGACATGAAATTATCCAGGGATTCGCAAGCGTTTTTGTCAGTCGAACAAATGCTTGGGCTAAAAGTCAATAATTTAAATTTAACAAGACATTCACGTGTTCATGGTTTTCTGATATCAGTTAATTCCCATGACATGCAGGTAAACAAATAACATATAAACAGAGTTTATTTTGATTGTTTTTAATTTAAAATTATTTTTGTTATTTTTATTTTATGATTTAATTAATTATTAATAAGTTATTTTTGATTGTTTTTCATTTATTTTTATTTTACAATTTTATGATTTAATTATTCAGAAGTGTTTTATTTTGATTATTTATATTTTTTGTATTTTTAAATTATTTTATTTTTATTGTTCATTTTTACGATTTTAGTTAATGTGTTGTTTTTCTATTGTTTTTATTTTAAAACTATTTTTATTTTACATTTTTATGATTTAATTCATTATGCATTTTTATGATTTAATTCATGTTAATAAATGTTTTATTTTAATTGTTTTTATTTTAACATTATTTTAATTTGACATTTTTATGAATTAATTATAAGTTTTTGTTTTCATTATTTTCTTTTTAAATTATTTATTTTTATTTCACTTTTTATGAATTAATTCATTATTATACAATTTTATGATTTAATTCATTATTAATAAATGCTTTATTTCGATTACTTTTTATTTTAACATAATTTATTTACATTTTATGATTTAATTAATTATAAGTAATTTATTTATTTATTTATTTACATTTATTTTACATTATGATTTATTTATTTATTAACTTTCCATTAAATGACAAATCCCAGTTTGGGAACACTGGCATAAATCATCACTCTTGAGAAATCAGACAATATAGTAATGTATTCGTGTAAATGCACATGATATAGTCAAAATGAACATATTATTCAGATCAGTAATTAAAAAGTTGCATGCTTAAAGTGTTGAGTTTGATAAAACAAAAAAGTAAATTGCTGTTTGACTACTAGTAAACATTATCCAATAATCTGTGATGGAAAGTCATTTCAGATGAAAGATTATTAAGACAGTTAGTTAGTTATTTAGAATTTTACTGACAAATCATTCACAATAAGACCAGGATAATGAACTAATTTGCTTTTCATGTTGACTTTTTAACACTTTATACCAATCAAAGACTGTTAATTGTGAGGTTAGATGTCCTGTGCTGGTTTGTTACTGGTGTAGGCTGGTTCATATTGGTCAGTTACTAGTGTAGGTTGGTTTATAGTGGTTAGTTGCTGGTTTATACTTTTCTGGTCTAGGCTGGTTCATATTGATCAGTTGCTGGTCTAGGCTGGTTTATACTGGTCAGTTGCTGGTCTAGACTGGTTTATACTGGTTAATTTCTGGTCTAGGCTGGTTCATATTGGTCAGTTGCTGGTCTAGACTGGTTTATACTGGTTAATTTCTGGCCTAGGCTTGTTCATATTGGCCAGTTACTGGTCTAGGATGGTTCATATTGGCCAGTTACTGGTCTAGGATGGTTTATACTGGTCAGTTGCTGGTCTGGAGTGGTTTATACTGGTTAATTTCTGGTCTAGGCTGGTTCATATTGGTCAGTTACTGGTGTAGGTGGGTTTATACTGGTCAGTTGCTGGTCTAGGCTGGTTCATAATGGTCAGTTGCTGGTCTAGATTGGTTTATACTGGTTAATTTCTGGTCTAGGCTTGTTCATATTGGTCAGTTACTGGTCTAGGCTGGTTCATATTGGTCAGTTGCTGGTCTAGACTGGTTTATACTGGTTAATTTCTGGCCTAGGCTTGTTCATATTGGCCAGTTACTGGTCTAGGATGGTTCATATTGGCCAGTTACTGGTCTAGGATGGTTTATACTGGTCAGTTGCTGGTCTAGACTGGTTTATACTGGTTAATTTCTGGCCTAGGCTTGTTCATATTGGCCAGTTACTGGTCTAGGATGGTTCATATTGGCCAGTTACTGGTCTAGGATGGTTTATACTGGTCAGTTGCTGGTCTAGACTGGTTTATACTGGTTAATTTCTGGTCTAGGCTTGTTCATATTGGTCAGTTACTGGTCTAGGCTGGTTTATACTGGTCAGTTGCTGGTCTAGGCTGGTTCATATTGGCCAGTTACTGGTCTAGGATGGTTTGTACTAGTTAGTTGCTGGTCTAGGCTGGTTTATTCTAGTTAGCTGCTGGTCTAGGCTGGTTTGGACTGGTCAGTTGCTGGTCTAGGCTGGTTCATATTGGCCAGTTACTGGTCTAGGATGGTTTGTACTGGTTAGTTGCTGGTCTAGGCTGGTTTATAGTAGTTAGTTGCTGGTCTAGGCTGGTTCATATTGGTCAGTTACTGGTGTAGGCTGGTTTATACTGGTCAGTTGCTGGTCTAGGTTGGTTTATACTGGTCAGTTGCTGGTCTAGGTTGTTTTATACTGGTCAGTTGCTGGTCTAGGCTGGTTTATACTGGTCAGTGGCTGGTCTAGGCTGGTTTATTCTGGTTAATTGCTGGTCTAACTTGTGAACCGGACGGTATAGCCATGCTGTTCTAGAAAAACTGCTGAAACTGATCAGCCATGGAACCACTGAAGTGGCAGTGAATGTGATGCTGATGTGTGTCATTCGTGTGTTTTGTGTCCAGTTGTGTCCGCAGTACTGGCCGGAGAACGGCGTCCATCGGCACGGACCCATCCAGGTGGAGTTTGTGTCGGCAGATCTGGAGGAGGACATCATCAGCAGGATCTTCCGCATCTATAACGCCGCGCGGGTGAGTAAGCGCTCGCTAACACGCTTCAGTCAGTCAGCTGTTCCAGTGTCATGAATGTGTGGTTTGCGTGCAGCCGCAGGATGGGTACCGGATGGTGCAGCAGTTCCAGTTTCTGGGCTGGCCGATGTACCGCGACACTCCCGTCTCCAAACGCTCCTTCCTCAAACTCATCCGACAGGTGGACAAATGGCAGGAGGAGTACGACGGAGGAGAGGGACGCACCGTCGTGCACTGCCTGTGAGTCCGCTTCAGTCTTATATAGTCATACTTAGAATATTTATATTATTTTTATTAATAGTAATGCAATATTTATTTAGCATATTTAGAACTAATATTTAGAATTAGATTTGTATTTACATTAAAAATTTGTTTGTAATATTTAGAATTAGATTTGTATGAATATTTAAATTTTTGTAATATTTAGAATTTGTGTAGAATATTTAGAATTATATTTTTATTAATAGATAGAATTTCCTTGTAATATTTAGAATTATATTTAATTAATATTTAGAATTTATTTTTATTTCAATATTTTTTATAGTTTTTTATTAATATTTAGGATTGTTTTTATTTGATCTTTATTTGTCATTTTGTCACATATATATGTGTGTGTGTAGTTTTTAATTTAATTTCAGTTTTATTTTTGAGTTATTTTAGTACATCAAGTTAAGCTAAATGAACATTAGAAATGTTTCCTTGGACACCTGCTAAAATAATCCAAGTTTACATTTTTTATATATTTTTTTTATTTTTATTATTATCATTTAAGTTAACATTTATTTAATTTTAAATATTTTAATGGGTTTAGTAATAGCCCTGTCATTTCTGAGTGAAAGACTAAAAGTGTTTTATTTTTTTTATTTCAGTGAACCTTTATTTTGTTTTAAATGGTTGTAGATTTAGTAATAACCCAGTTATCTCTGATTGGATTAGTTGATATCTGGCTCATCAAGTATTCAAATATATTCAAGGAAATATTGTGTAAATTGTGTGTTTTTACAGTTTTGTCTTTATGATTTGCTATCAGTGACTAAATTCACCAAGAACATGTTTTAGGGTTTAAAACAAAAGATATAGGGCTGTGAAAAACCTCTTCAGTGCATCTTGTCATGCATTTCTTAAAGTTTGAAGTCAAGTGTCATGTTTTTAGATGGCCATATCATGCGAGACGCTGCAAAAGACACATCAGAGACATTTATCTAGCGCACGTTTACATATGAAAACACTGGAAAAGCAACGTAATGAAATGCAAGTGCGTTTGTCGAGTCACATTTATTTCTATAGCACTTACTGTTATTTCTATAAAACACATACTGTTTCAAAGCAGCTTCACAGTAATGAAAAAGGAAAATAACAGTGTTAATGTTGTAAAATTAATGAAACGTTAATTTTTAGCTGTAAAGCAGCGCTACAGAAGACAATAGAGTCATTATTCAGTTCAGTTCAGAAAAACACTTCAGCTGAATTGAGCTGGATAATCTTACTTTGGATATTTCACACACTACTAGTAAAGCTAGTTTCTGAGAGCGTGAAGAGCAGCGGCGAGTCTCGAGTCTCGTGATTCTGGTGAGACTCCGAGAGATTCTGATCTCGCTCTCGTTCTCCAGCGCCGGCTGCCCAGTCGTGTTTATCCTGAAATAAATATTGACACACACTCTTCAGGAGTTCACCAGCGAGACTCAGTGATTGTGCTGAATAATGCGCTGCAGCTCATGAGCGGGAGCACAGCGCAACCTACTGCTCCCAGATCAGATACAGCACTGACAAATGAACACACCGGGCATAAATACAGTCAAAATATGCCAACCTGAGACTGATTAAGTGTTTAACAGCAGTAAAGGTGGGAATACATTTGAGACAAGAACTGTTTCATTGAGTTTGTGATTTCTGACCATAAGGCCGCAGCGGCACGTTCTGTGCCATCAGTATCGTGTGTGAGATGTTGTGTCACCAGCACTCGGTGGACGTTTTTCACGCCGTCAAGACACTGAGAAACAACAAACCCAACATGGTGGATCTGCTGGTGAGCGTCACAACATCCACATCCACACCTGACAGCGGTTTGAGCATCTACTGAGGATCTTACCGCTGCAGATGGAGCTGGAAAAGAGTTACTTTCATCACTGTTTAATGATAAAAATAATAATAACAATAATGCACATATGTGTCCCTGCAGCACAAAAGCAGTCTTAAGTCGCTGGGGTATATTTGTAGCAATAGCCAACAATACATTGTATGGGTCAAAATTATACATTTTTCTTTTATGCCAAAAATCATTAGGATATTAAGTAAAGATCATGTTCCATGAAGATATTTTGTAAATTTCCTACCGTAAATATATCAAAACTTAATTTTTGATTAGTAATATGCATTGCTAAGAACTTCATTTGAACAACTTTAAAGATGATTTTCTCAATATTTAGATTTTTTTGCACCCTCAGATTCCAGATTTTCAAATATTGTCCGATCCTAACAAACCATACATCAATGGAAAGCTGATTTATTCAGATTTCAGATAATGCATAAATCTCAATTTCAAAAAATTGACCCTTATGACTGTCCAATCATGCGATGTCAGTGTAGTTGTCATGGCAGGAGTCCTGTGCAGGATATCGAATAAAATGTTTAGTAAATCATTTTTGCAGACATTTTTAGGGTGCAAATTCTGTTTTAATTTCTCTGTATTCAGTTTTAATGGTTTAATGTAGGTTTTAATCATCAAAAAGCACGTCTAATCAGTTGATTTCATAAAAATTTTACAATTTGATCATTTATTAAATCATCAAAATGAACATATATCTTCACCATAAATTCATAAAACTTTAAAAATGTAATCTAACTTTTAAAATGTAATTAGTCAAGTAAAAATATAACAAATTGCATTTTTATTTTATTTATTTTTATTTCAAACAAAGTGTAATAATATTATTACTGTTTGTTTCATGTTTCTATTGTCATGTCTACCACCACTAACATCTTAGTTAACTTATAATAATTTAAAAATAACTCACAACGCATTCAGATCCATTTTGAGCCGGAAGAGATGCATACAAATTACAATGCATAAAATGCAAAATGCATTAAAAAATGCATAGTGTAGTAAGGAAACAAACGTTGCAAATGCTGTAAGACCTCAAAATAAAATACACACCTTTTAAATAAAAAAAATATATA